CATCACCTATCAGAAATACAAACTACATCAGAGATTACTGCAAACAACTCTATGCACACAAACTGGCAAACCTGGAAGAAATGGATAAATTCCTGGACAGTTACACCCTCCCAAGATTAAACCAGGAAGAAGTAGAAACCCTGAATAGGCCCATAACAAGGGCTGAAATTGAGGCAGCAAATGATAGCCTAACAACCAAAAAAAACCCCAGGTACAACTGAATTCTACCAGAACATACAAAGAGGAGTGGGTACCACTACTTCTGAAACTATTCCAAACAATCCAAAAAGAAGGAATCCTTCCCAGATCATTTTATGAGACCAAAATCATCCTGATACCAAAACCCGGCAGAGATTCAACAAAAAAGAAAACTTCAGGCCAATATCCATGATGAACATAGATGCAAAAATCTTCAATAAAATACTAGTAAACTGATTGCAACAGCACATCAAAAAGCTTCTCCATCACGATCAAGTAGGTCTTATCCTGGGGATGCAAAGCTGGTTCAAGTTATGCAAGTCCAGAAATGTAATTCACCACATAAACAGAACCGAAGGCAAAAACTATGTGATATCTCAATAGGCGCAGAGAAGGCCTTCCACAAAATTCAAGAGCCCTTTATGCTAAAAACTCTCAATAAACTAGGTATGATGGAACATATCTCAAAATAATAAAAGCTATTTATGACAAACCAACAGCCAAAATCATACTGAATGAGCAAAAACTGGAAGCATTCCCTTTGAAATCTGGCATTAGACAACGATGCCCTCTCTCACCACTCCTATTCAATATAGTATTGGAATTTTTAGCCAGAGCAATCAGGCAAGAAAAAGAAATAGAGTATTCAATTAGGAAAGAAGGAAGTCAAATTGTCTCTATTTGCAGACGACATGATTATATATTTAGAAGACCCCATCATCTCAGCCCAAAAGCTCCTGAAACTGATAAGCAACTTCAGCAATGTCTCAGGATACAAAATCAATGTGCAGAAATCACAAGCATTCCTATACACCAATAGCAGACTTAGAGCCAAATCAAGAATGAACTGCCATTCACAATTGCTGCAAACAGAATAAAATTCCTAGGAATACAACTAACAAAGGATGTAAAGGACCTCTTCAAGGAGAACTACAAACCACTACTCAAGGGAATAAGAGAGGACGCAAACAGATGGAAAAACATTCCATGCTCATGGTTAGGAAGAAGCAATATTGTGAAAATGGCCATACTGCCCAAAGTAATTGATAGTTTTAATGCTATCCCCATCAAGCTACCTATGACCCTCTTCACAGAACTGGAAAAAAACACTTTAAACTTCATATGGAACCAAAAGCAAGCCCGCATAGCCAAGACAATTCTAAGCAAAAAGAACAAAGCTAGAAGCATCATGCTACCTGACTTCAAACTATATTACAAGGCTACAGTAACCAAAACAACGTGGTACTGGGACCAAAACAGAGATATAGACCAATGGAACAGAACAGAGGCCTCAGAGGCAACACCACACATCTACAACCATCTGATCTTTGACAAACCTGACAAAAACAAGCAATGGGGAAGAGATTTCCTGTTTAATCAATGGTGTTGGGAAAACTGGCTAGCCATGTGCAGAAAGCAGAAACTGGACCCCTTCCTGAAACCTTACACTAAAATTAATCCCAGATGAAATAAAGACTTAAACTTGAGACTAACACCATAAAAACCCTAGAAGAAAACTTAGGCAAAACCATTCAGGACATAGGCATAGGCAAGGACTTCATGACTAAAACACCAAAAGCATTGGCAACAAAAGCTAAAATAGACAAATGGGATCTAATTACACTCCAGAGCTTCTGCACAGCAAAAGAAACAATAATTAGAGTGAACTGGCCACCAACAGAATGGGGAAAAAAATTTGCAATCTACCCATCTGACAATGGGCTAATATCTAGAATCTACAAAGAACTAAAACAGATTTATAAGAAAAAAACCCGACAAACCCATTCAAATGTGGGCCAAGGATATGAACAGACATGTTTCAAATGAAGACATATATGGGGCCAACAAACATGAAAAAATGCTTATCATTACTGGTCATTAGAGAAATGCAAATCAAAACCACATTGAGATACCATCCGATGACAGAATGGCAACCATTAAAAAATCTGGAGACAACAGATGCTGGAGAGGATGTGGAGAAATAGGAACACTTTTACACTGTTGGTGGGAGTGTAAATTAGTTCAGCCATTGTGGAACACCGTGTGGCAATTCCTCAAGAACCTAGAAACAGAAATTCTGTTTGACCCAGCAATCCCATTACTGGGTGTATATCCAAAGGATTATAAATTGTTCTGTTATAAAAACACATGCACATGTATGTTCATTGTGGCATGGTTTACAATAGCAAAGATCTGGAACCAACCCAAATGCCCATCGATGATAGACTGGACAAGGAAAATGTGGCACATATACACCATGGAATACTATGCAGCCATAAAAAATGATGAGTTCATGTCCTTTGTAGGGACATGGATGAATCTGGAAACCATCATTCTCAGCAAATTGACACAAGACCAGAAAATCAAACACTGCATGTTCTCACTCATAGGCGGGTGTTGAACAATGAGAACACATGGACACGGAGAGGGGGGAGCACTGCACACTGTTGAGGGGGTGGAGGGTGGAATGTGGAGGGACAGTGGTGGTTAGGGAGGTTGGGGAGAGATAACGTGGGGAGAAATGCTAGATATAGGTGACAGGGAGATGGAGATGGCAAACCACATTGCCATGTAGGTACCTATGCCATAATCCTGCACGTTTTGCACATGTACCCCAGAACCTAAAATGCAATAAAATATTTTTTAAAAAGAAAAGAAAAAAAGGAAAAACAGGTGAACTTTGCTTTTCTGTGGCTGGCTTTTTTCACTTAACATAATGACCTCCAGGTCCATCCATGTTGTGACAAATGACAGGATCTCTCTTTTTTTTTTTTTGTCTCAATGGTATTCCATTGCATGTATATAGCACACTTTATCCATCCATCTGTTCATCTGTTGTGGACACTTACGTTGCTTCCAAATCTTGATTATTGTGAATAGTGTTCAGCAGTAAACATGGGATTGCAGATATCTATTCAATATGCTGATTTCATTTCTTTTGCACGTATACCTAGCAGTGGGATTCCTGGATCATATGGTAGCTCTACTTTTAGGCTTTTCAGCAACTTCTGAACTGTTCTCCATAGCAGTTGTACTAATTTACACTCCTATCAGCGGTGTACAAGTTGAAAAGAGTTCCCTTTTCTCCACATCTCAGCAACATTTTTTAGTGTCTGACTTTTGGATAAAAGCCATTTTAATTGGGGTAAGATGACATTTCATTGTAGTTTTGATTTGCATTTCTCTGATGATTAATGATGTTGAGTACCTTTTCATATACCTTTTTGCCATTTACATAACTTCTTTTGAGAAATACCATTTCAGATCTTCTGTCTATCTTTTAAATTGAATTAGATTTTTTTCCTATTGTGTGATTTGAGCTTATGTGTTCTGATTATTTATTGTTGTCAGATAGGTAATTTATAAATATTTTCCCCCATCCTGTGTGTTGCCTCTTCACTTCATTGGTTGTTTCCTTTGCTGTGCAGAAACTTTTTAACTTGATGTGATTCAATTTTTCCATTTTTTTCTTTGGTTGCCTGTTCCTGTGGGGTATTATTAAAATATTTGCCCAACCTAATGTCCTGGAGAGTTTCCCCAATGTTTTGTCTCAGTAGTTTCATCATTTCAGGTCTTAGATTTAAGTCTTTAATTCATTTTATCTTGATTTTTGTATATGGCAAGAGATACAGCTCTAATTTCATTCTTCTGGATATGGATATCCAGTTTTCCCAGCACCATTTATTAAGGAGACTGTCTTTTCTCTAGTTTATGTTCTTGCCACTTTTGTCAAAAATGAGTTTGCCAGGCCATGCACAGTGGCTCGCATTTGTGGTCTGAGCACTTCTAGAGGCTGAGGCATGTGGATCACCTGACCCCACATGGTGAAACCCTATCTCTGCCAAAAAATAAAAATAAATTAGCCAGGCATGGTTGTGGGTGCCTGTATTCCCAGTTACTTGGGAGTCTGAGGTGGAAGAATTGCTTGAGCCAGGGAGGTAGAGGTTGTAGTGAGCTGAAATCACACCATGGCCTCAGCATGGCTGACAGCCCGAGACTCTGTCTCACCAAAAACAAGAAAAAAAAAAAAAAAAAAAAAGAGTTTACTTTAGAGGTATGGATCTATTTCTGAGTTCTCTATTCTGTTCCATTGGCCTATATGTCTGTTTTTATGCCATCACCATGCTCTTTTGATTATAAGTTGGTAGTATAATTTAAAATCAGGCAGTGAGATTCCTCCAGTTTTACTATTTTGTTACAAATAGCTTTGCCTGTCATGAGTCTGTTGTGGTCCCATAGAAATTTTAGTATAATAGTTTCTTGTATTTCTGTGAAAAATGTCATTGGTATTTTGATAGGGATTGCACTGAATCTTTAGATTGCTTTGGGTAGGATAGAAATTTTAACACTATTGATTTTTCCAATCCATTAACATGGAATGTATTTCCATTTTTCATGTATTCTTCAGTTTCTTGCATCAATGTTTTATTGTTTTTAGTTGAGAGATCTTTCACTTCTTTGGCTAAGTTTATTTCTGGGCATTTAATTTTGTTTTTAGCCATTGTAAATGGAATCACTTTCTTGATTTCCTTTTCGTATTGTTCGCCTTTAACATATAGAAATGCTACTGATTGTTGTATGTTGATTTTACATCCTGCAACTTTGCTAAATTTGTTTATTAGTTCTAATAGGTTTTTAGTGGGGTCATTAGCTTTTCCCAAATATAAGATCATATTATGTGCAAATGGGATAATTTGACTTCTTCCTTTTCAATGTGGATGCCCTTTATTAATTTTTCTTGTCTGATTGCTCTAGCCAGGACTTCCAGTACTATGTTAAATAGGTGTGGTGAAAGTGGGCACCTTGTCATGTTCCAGATCTCAGAGGAAAGGCTTTTAGTTTTTCCCCATTTAATACGATACTAGCTGTGAGTCTGTTGTGTATGACTTTTATTGTGTTGAGGCATTCTTTCTATAGCCAGATTTTATTTTAGGGAGTGGTTAGCATGAAGGGATGTTCAGTTTTATCAATGATTATATGGTTTTAAAATGATTATATGGTTTGTGTCCTTTATTCTGTTGACGTGATGCATCACATTAATTGATTTTCATATGTTGGACAATCCTCACGTCACTAAGTTAAATCCCACTTAGTCATGATGAACAATCTTTTTTAACATTGAATTCAGTTTGCTAGTATTTCATTGATGATTTTTGTATCAATGTCCATCAGGAATATTGGATTGTAGAGGTTTTCTGTTTGTTTTGTTTGATGTGTCTTTGTCTGGTTTGGGCATCAGGATAGTACTGGCCTTATAGTATTCCTTCCTCTTCTATTTTTTGGAACAGTTTGAGTGGCATTGGTATTCTTTTTATGTTTGGAAAAATTAAACATTGTAGCCATTGTTCACTTTTTATTTGTTGGGAGACGTTTTATTATAGGTTTGATCTTGTACTTGCTATGGGTTTATTCAGGCTTTTTGGTTTCCATATGCATATCCAGCCATAGTTATAAGAAGACTTATTTTTTAAAATGCACTAATTTATCAATAAAAACAAGTACCTCAATAAAAACAAGTACCCTTCAAATAAGAAGCAGATTCAAAAAAGAGCAAAAATTATAACAAAATATCTTACAAAATAGTTTGAATACAGGCTCAAAAGATACTTAAGAGATTCATTTTTTAAAGACTACCTAGGATTAAGGCTTATAATACATTTCATTATTTCAAGTTTTTCATAAGTTATCAGGCATCAATTTATAACTAACATGTTCAGTTTTTATTCCTTTATCAAAAGAGAAAATTCTAGCTTTGATTCTATACAGTGTAGGAGAGGGGGACTAGAAAATAAAAATATTCAAACAGGTCCATGCAAATAGTATATTTTTCAAATGGAAGAACTTTCAACTGGACCAGAAGTTTATACTGCTAATGTAATTTTCATTGAAACAATTTTTAATAAGTACAAATACATAGCATTAAGATTCAACACCTAATATAGGCCTGACAATCAAGTTTTATGGTTCAGTCTTGATAGGTTGGATGTGTCTAGGAATTTATCTATTTCTTCTAGACTTTCCCATCTATTGGCATATAGTTGCTCAGATTACCCTCTATCGATCCTTTGAATTTTTGTGTTCCTAGTTTTATCTACTTTTACATCTCTGATTTTATTATTTGTGTCTTCTCTCTTTCTTCCTAGTTATTTGGGGTAAAGGTTTTTTGAATTTTTAAATTTTTGAAAAAAAAAAAATACTTTTCATTTTGATGTTTCTATTTTTTATTTCAGTTTTACTTATTTTTTGCCCTGATCTTTATTCCTTTCTCCTAATAATTTTGCATTTGGTTTGCTTTTTCTTTTCTAGTTTTTTAAGATACATCATCATATTGCTTATTTTACATTTTTCTACTTTTCTGATGTAGGCACATATAGCTATAAACTTACCTCTTAGAACTGCTTTCACTGTATCCCATAGGTTTTGATATTTTATGTTGAATTATTATTTGTTTCAAGAATTTTTTTAAATTTTCTTCTTAGTTTCTTCATTAATCGTTAGTCATTCAGGAGCATAATTTTAATTTCCATATATTTGTATAGTTTCTACAATACTTCTTGTTGTTGATTTCTAGTTTTATGCCATTGTGTGCAGTAAAAAGTACACGATATAATTTCAATTTTTAAAGAAATTGAAATTATGTTGTAGCCTATCATATGATCTATTCTTGAGAACCATTCATGTGCTAAGAATAAGCATATGTATTCTACATTTGTTTGATGAAATGTTCAGTAAATATTTATTTGGTCCATTTGGTATATAGTGCAGATAAAATCTGATATTTATTCATTGATTTTCTGTCTGAGTAATCTGTCCAGTGCTGCAAGTTGGTGTTTTAGCCTCTATTATTATATTGGGGTTTATCTCTCTCTTTAGCTCTAATAATAATTGCATTATATATCAGGATGCTCCCATGTTAGGTGCACATATAATTATAGTTGTTATATCTTCTTGCTACATGGACCCTTCTATCATTATTTAACAACCTTCTTTGTCTCTTTTTGTATTTTTTGTCTTGAAATCTATTTTGTCTGACATAAGTATAGCTATTCCTTGTCTTTTTGGTTTCCATATGCAGAGAATATCTTTTTCATCTCTTTATTGTCAGTCTATGTGTATCTTTATATATCAGCTATGTTTCTTGTAGGCGACAGTTCATTTGGTCTTGTTTTTTATCCATTCACCCACCATCTCTATATGTTTTGGTTAAAATTTAGTTCATTTACATTCAATGTTACTATTGAGAAGTAAGGATTTACTCTTGCCATTTTGTTATTTGATTTCTGGTTATTGTGTGATCTTCTCTTCCTTCTTTCCTTTATTCTTGTCTTCCTTTTAGTGAAGGAGATTTTCTCAGGTGGTATGTTTTCTTACCTTTTAATTTTGGGCATCTGTTGTATGTTTTTTTTTTGAGGTTACCATGAGGCTTAGAAATAATATATAAACAAATAAGTAAACTAACAAGCAAAGAGAAAACTAATAAAAACTCTACACTTTATCCTGTGTATGTCTTGAAAAGTTTTGTATAGTAGTATCTTTGATAGGTCCTTGTTTTAGACATACTCAACATGTGAGTAGTTTACACATCACAACTACAGTATTACAATATTCTGTGTTTAGATACTTAATATTTGCTAGTGAGTTTTGTACCTTCAGATCATTTTTTTATTACTCAGTAATGTCCTTTATTTTCAGATTGAAGAACTCCCTTTATCATATCTTGTTGGACAGGTTTAATGTTGATGAAACCCCTCGCTTTTGTTTGTCTGGGAAAGTTTTTATTTCTGCTTCATGTTCGAAGGATGTTTTCACCACATCTACTATTCTGGAATAAAAGTGGTTTCTTTTTCTTCAGCACTTTAAATATGTCATGCCACTCTCTCCTGGCCTGTAAGATTTCCCCTGAAAAGTTTGCTCCCAAATGTATTGGAGTTTCTTTGTATGTTGTTTCTTTTCTCTTGCTGCTTTTAGTATTCTTTCTTTATCCCTGACCTTTAGGGATTTGATTCTTAAATGCCTTAAGATAGTCTTACCTGGGTTTTATCTGTTTGGTTTTCTATAACATTCTTGTACTTGGTTATTGATATTTTTCTTTAGGTGCAGGAAGTTCTCTGTTATTTTCTCTTTTATAAACTTTCTGCTGCAATCCCTCTTTCTCTCTCTACCTCTTTCAGCATCTCAGATCCAAGCCTATTTTCTAGACCTTGTAGGCACACTTCATTCTTTGTTATTCTTTATACTTTTGGGACCTACAGTTGTGTATTTTCAAGTAGCTTGCACTCAAGCTCACTGATTCTTTCTTCTATTTGATCAATTCTGTTATTGAGAGATTTTGATGCTTTCTTCAGTATAACTATTGTATTTTTCAGCTCCAGAATTTGCTGAATTCTTATTAATTATTTCATTCTCTTTGTTAAATTTATCAATATGACTCTGAGATTTTTCTCTGCATCATTGAGCTTTCTCAAAACAGCTATTTTGAATTCTCCATCTGAAAGGTCACATATCTCTATCTCCCCAGGATTTGTCATTGGAGTCTTATTTAGTTCATTTGGTGAGATCATATTTTCCTGGATGGTCTGAATGCTTGTAGATGTTCATTGGTGTCTGGGCATTATGGAGTTAGGTATTTATTATAGTTCTTACACTCTGAGCTTGTTTGTAACTGTCCTCCTTGGGAAGGCTTTCCAGGTCTTCAAAGGGACTTGGGTATTGTGATTTAAGTTTGTGCCACTGAAGCTATATCTGCATTAGGGTATACCCTAAGTCCAGTAGTGCTGTGGTTTTTGCAGACTGATAGAGGTACCACCTTGGTGATCTTGAGTGAGATCTAGAAGATTTCCCTAGATTACCAGGCAGAGACTCTTGTTATTTTCTCTTGCTTTCTCCCAAACAAATGGAGTACCTCTCTCTGCTGAGCTGCCTAGAGCTGGAAGGACAGATGACACAAGTACCATTGTGGACATCACCACTGGGACTTCACTGGATCAGATACAAAACTAGCACAGCACTGGGTGTTGCTCAAATCCCACAATGACCACTGCATTGCTACCACTGAGGCTCACCCAAGGTCCAAGGGCTCTTTAGTCAGCTTGTGGCAAATGCTGCCATTCCTGAGCCTCTCCCTTCAGGACAATGGGCTCCTCTTTGGCCCACGGTAGGTCCACAAATGCCATCCAGGAAATTGAGAACCCCAGAAGCCCACTTAGTGTTCTACCCAACTGTGGCTAAGCTAGTACCCAAGATGTAAAACAAACTCCCCTTTGCTCTTCCCTATCCTTTCTTCCTCTAGCCACCACAGCTGGAAATGTGCTGGTTCACACCTGAAGCCAGTACAGCTCTGAGTCTCACCCAAGGCCTGCAGCAAGTACTGCCTGGCTATCACTGCTGATTATTCAGGGCTCAGGGGCTCTGTAGACAGCAGGTGATGAATTCTGTCAAGACTGGGTTTTTCATTTCAAGGTTCCCTCCTGGCCCAGGATGTGCTTAGAAATGTCATCTGGTAGCTAGTCCCCTGGAATGGGGACTTCAAGACTCTCCATGATCCCCTATTCTACCGTGGCTGAGTTGGTATCCAAGTTGCAAGACAGATCTCCCTTCCTGTCTCATAAAACAGGGAGAAGGAATCTCTCTGGTAGCTGTGAGTTGTGCTGCCTTGGGTTGGGTGAGGAGTGATGCAAGCACTCCCTTGGACACCTCAGCTGGTATCTCACTAGTTAATATGCACCCCAAGTCCACTGACTATAAGACCAGCATAGCACCAGTCCTTGCTCAGGAATTACAGGCCTTGTGGCTTCACTGCTTTATAAGTTTGTTAAGAACTCCAGGCCAACTTGGCCCATGGTGGCAGGGCTTGCCAGAACTCAGATTCCTACCTCTGGATGGATGCTGGCTGAGTTCTGCCCCATTTTGCT